TGGTTTTCATAAATGATCTCGCGAGTGTGCTGTCTTCTAACTGATTGCTATTTGTTGATGGTCTAGAGGTATGACGTGCTATAGCTGCAGTGGAGGATCACATAGTGTTACAGGAGGACCTGAACCAAGCATACACTTGGTCGGCTGGCTTGCCGAACTACCTCCTCGTAGTGCCAGCTGGGTGGTTCGGGTGTACCCCGTTCCAGCAAAGTGTTCAGCGACAATGTTCCACCTCGGTGGGACATTGTATTCCAGCAGGTGTGCTGACTTCATGGGGAGTATTGGGCCGCTGTTTGGTAATCTACCAAACAAAGATGCATGAACTGAACATTCAGTCAGCGCCTCCCAGTGGGCGCGATTCCCTAAATTCGCCCTGCTGCCTTGCGGGTAGGTTATTTAAACAAAGGCTCGGGGTGGAGTCCCCTAAGTCAACTCCCCACTTTGGCTTGGGCAACCGGGTAGTATCACGCCCTCTCACAAAACCATGGACTTCACTACAACGTGCTCATCAGCTACTGTTCCTGCTTCTCACTTTCACGCGACTCCATCACATGCCAATTGTTTGTTTGTTAACAATCCTCACTTTCTGTTACCCGATTCATCTGTTCAACAATCTGACTGCGATTCCGGTTGCTCCGCAAATCAAGGAATTCAACCTATGGCTCTCCTTCGTCCCCGATCCTCGTTCCGTCTGGCGTGCTTCAACGTCCGGACACTCATGCAGATTGGACAGCAAGCCGGTCTAGCGCGCACGCTAGATTCCCTAGACATTGATGTCTGCTGCCTTCCAGAAACCCGATTGCAAGATCCCAGCACTGTGCTTACATTGACGTCCCACACTGACCATGAAGCCAGATATCACCTGCGTCTTTCTTGAGATCCAGAAGGAAGCTCAGCCGGTTTGGCTGGTGTAGGTATACCACTAAGTCACAAGGACGAGGCAGCACTACTGGACTGGTTTCCGATTAACAGCCGACTATGTGTATTTCGGCTTCGGGGTTCATGTGGAATCAACAGGCAAAGCGAAGTGAGATAAAACATGTTTGTGATCTCCGTGTACGCTCCAACTGACTGCAGTGACGACTCGGTCAAGGACGAATTCTATCGGGATCTACAACAGCTGTTGAGTGATGCTAAAAGTCGGATGTCTTTATCCTTGCTGGGGATTTTAACGCACGGGTTGGTCGCCTGTTACCATACGAACGCCACCTTGGTGGTCATCACGCGCTCGATGAGAACCGCTCTGATAACGGAGAGAGACTTCTCACATTGTGCTAATATAACCGTCTGTTTCTTTCGAGCATTAACTTCAGGCGTACGAAGAAGCGTTCCGCAACGTGGCTTCCCCCCTTCACCAACACAACCGTGGTCTCAAATTGATCACATTGCAATTAGCTTCAGTTGGCGCGGCAGCGTACTGGACTGCGCGTCCTTTTGGTCCACCTTCGTTGACTCAGATCATGCTCTCGTCTGCGCGAAAATCTGTATGTGTTTTGGAGGTTCCGGAAACACGAAGCTTCGCAAGATTGATGTAAACAGATTAACTGATTCCTCTGTCCAGGAGAGCTATCAGTCTTCACTGGCATATGCACTCAGTTGCAATCCCCCGCAAGAAGTGGAACAACACTGGACTTGTATACGGAAAGCGCTGACCATTTCCGGAGAGTCATGCTGCGGCATAGCTCGACGCCGCTTAAAGGCTTGGATCTCTGCTCGTTCTCTGGAGCTGTTCGAACGCCGCAAAGATATCCCCACGAAATCAGATTGCAACGAGCGGCGCCGTTCTGCCAACCGGATGCTCAAGCAAAGCCTACGCAAGGATCGCGAGACATGGTGGTCTGAGGGTGCGTTGAAGATGGAGACTGCTGCCCTCCCTGGCAACACTCGCAGGCTTTTCCAACTCATTCGGTCCACTGGCCTCAGGAAGCCTGGTGTCAGTGAGGTCATATGTGAGGTGGATGAGTCTCCGATCACGAACCAACAGAGGCGTATGGACCGCTGGGCCGAGCACTTTCACTCGCAGTTCAGCTTGCCTCGACCATCCATCAGTACAAGCAGTACACCTTGCTGTCCACCCTGGCTCGTCCCATTGAATCCACCCAGCGAGGCGGAAGTCTGCCTCGAGATTCGACGCTTGAAGCGCTTCAAGGCTGCCGGCTTAGACGAACTTCCTCCGGAACTATTCAAGTATGGCGGTGTGGCAGTCATTAACCAGTTGACCTCGCTGTTCGCAAACATTTGGCATGAAGAGAAAGTGCCTTCCACTTGGGGAGAATCAGTTATTGTCCCAATTTTCAAGAAAGGCGCTCGCACTTCTTGTGCAAATCATCGCGGGATTAGTCTTATTTCCGTTGCCTCTAAGCTATTGGCATCCATTCCGCTTCGCAGGCTATCCCCAATACGTGAATCATACTACCGTGAAGAACAAGCTGGTTTCCGTCCTGGCCGCGGATGCGTGGATCAAATTTTCACGCTCCGCAAGCTCCTCAAACATCGCCACATTTATCACAGGCCCACTATCGTTGCATTCCTAGACATACGTGGCGCATTTGACTCCGTTGATCGACCTGCTTTATGGCATTGCTTACTAAAGAACGGGGTGCCAGAGAAATATACCGCCATCTTACGAGCAATTTACCTTCATACATGCGGCAGAGTGAGGGTCTATGGCAAGCTTTCCTCGCAATTCATTGTCAATAGCGGTGTGTGACAGGGCTGCCCTATGTCTCCATTCCTCTTCAACTTCGCAATCGAAGACTTTCTGTCGAATGCCCTAGAAGGTTTCCAACATGTTGACTTAGAGATTCTAACGGGTGAGCGCACGACCGACTTAGATTATGCTGATGATATCGCCTTACTTGGTGACGATCCTCAAGGTATGCAACTCATTCTGGATCGTTTGGCGGTTGAAGCATCTAAGTATGGCATGAGCTTCGCCCCATCGAAGTGTAAACTACTGCTCAAGGATTGGCTTTCACCTGCTCCCGTACTCACACTCGAAGGTGCATAACTTGAACAGGTAGATAGTTTCGTCTACCTTGGGAGCCGTGTTTCCGTTGACGGCACTATCAGCAAAGAAGTTTCTCTTCGTATCGCTAAAGCTCGAACAGCATTTGTCAGTCTGAGGCACTTGTGGCGTCGTCGCGACGTCTCATTCTCACTAAAGGGCCGCGTTTACAGCGCATCAGTTCGCTCAGTATTGTTGTGTGGGAGTGAGTCCTGGCCGATTCGCGTGGAAGACATGCGTCGTCTTTCTGCGTTCGATAACGGTTGCTTAAGGAGGATCGCTCGTGTTCGGTGGCAACATCGAGTTAATAGGAATGACATTCGACGTCGCATCTTGGGGAATGCGAGTATTCCCTTCAACAAACTGGTTTTGTTGCGCCAGTTAAGATGGCTCGGTCATGTCCTACGCATGGCACCTGAGCGTCTACCGCGTCGCGCTCTATTCGCTCAACAAGGACCTGGCTGGAGGCGACCGCGTGGTGGTCAGCCTTCCACTTGGCGGCAGCACATGAAATCGCTGACGTCGCGTCTAGCAGCTGTTGGGCCCGTACGTCTTCCAGGATGGGGACCCAAAGATGAGGAGTGCCAATAGCTTAGGACTCTTGAATACATGGCCCGCAACCGGAATCAGTGGAAGAATTGTGTACAGTGTTAAATTGATTCACATGTTTAATTTTACTAATATTGAAAATGACAAAAAAAGAGAAAAATCGGCGTGTGAAAAACAAACTAAAAATGTTTGTTCTGTATTTTTGTCAAAATATTCCATTCTTCCTGCGGCATATGACCTGAAGTGTGTTGCCCACCTTCAACTAGCATGCCACGACGATTATGACGCAATGACTGTCTCTTATCCACTGATTCCCATGGCTTTGTTGGCTCTATGTCTAGTTACTAGACTGTTGAGATTGCATACATACACACCCTTTATATGGCAGTGCAGTTAAATTTGTAACCGCTCGAACTGACGACTCCATCATCCTTTGATCTACCTTTTCTCACTCTAAACACCTTACGGGACATGTCAAGCACCTGCTTTTTCACCCTTTATAAACCATTGTTCATTGTTCCAAACCAGTCTTGCTCTATCCTGGCGAGGCCGTTAAACCGTCTTCTTCAACCAGAGTACAGGAGAACCTAGTCACATTAGAACATCATAAATATTGCGATGAACTGCAAGCTAATTACTTTCTGCGTGCAACTTGCCCATGATCAGGATAAAATGTCACCCAATTCCAAGCCAACTCACTGCCTGAAGACGCTTGCGTGTGGAAAACGAAACGTCCTTCGTCAAACAAAGGCAATAACCGGTCGTCTGTCAAGTATGGTTGCACTTTTCTATTTCAGGACTCTTGTCTTGGCAACTCCACTGCATTTCCTAACTGCTGGTTTAACTTACTCGCAAAAGCATCTTTCAATGATTACACCGAGAAAATTTGCTACAGGCTAAGGGATTTGCACCTAGGCTTAATGATCTAACCATTCTAAATAAGTAATGGCTGGTGCTGAAAACTTGTGCTTATTGAATTAATGTCCAGCCATTTAATGCTGCGAAGAAGTTACGATGGACGAAATGACCTGGTAGGCTCTGCATGAAAATATGAGCGCAACACAGATCTATTGCCAGAGTGCCCATATAGTTCGCCAAAGCAATGATTTACGTGAGATTTGCGGAGATATAAGTTGCCGACTACTAGTTGGTAACTTAGACGATTCATTGCCGCTCTGCTGCTAATGCTTACTAGTTTTCGTCGCCCCAAAGACTTTCTCTTCACCAGGACCCTGAAAGGTGTACGAAACGTCAGGATTTCCGCGTATGTACTGCTCCTTTTTATGCTTGAATTGCAGCAAACCGCTTCTATCACGTTGTTGCAGTAGGTGACTTTTCGTTTTCAGCTTTAATTATTGACTGTTCAAACAAAGCTGAGTCTTAATATCCAATCGACTACGACTAGTAAATACTTCGACATAAATATCATAAGACATCTCGGTTACACGTTTGATTGAACGGTCTGGCAGAGTTGGTTCCACGTTACAGATGATTGTCTATGAACAAAGCAGTAGTTTAAAACGCAGCACCGGTCATAACGTAGACAACTGTTACAGAGCACGGTTTCAGCGATCTAAATGAGCAAGGCTCTCTTCAATGTGAATCGCGGTCCTCTTTAGGATTGCGCGTCGCAATCTCTTCACACAAAGCGCTTCAAAATGATCCATAAAACCGTTTTGCTTTTAAGGCAGACCTAGTAATTCGTTTTTTCTTTCTACAAGTAAAACCTGGTCAAAGCTAACGATTCCTTCCAGTGCCAAATGATAAGTGAACTTGAGTCCGTAACTTGACCATTGGCTTCTAAGCACACCGTCCTTACGCTTATCATCCGTACATCAATCTATGAGGAAACTATACTGGCGTTGATGACACAATGGTATATTCCATCCTTGTACCATGTGTTCCGTAGTGGAAGTACACGCAATGCTTGCATTTGACATTGTGTTTTACCGTGCACTTAAGATCGTTCCAAAGACGTGGGTTGCACAGACTTGCTTATACTGAGTGCTATGTATAATATTTAGTTTACTGCCCCAGTGTGGTGCACTTTCCTTCATTCTGCCCCAGATGGTAAGTTCAGGGAGTTCAGGTTTCTCTGTCCGTAGAAGCGAGGTAACCGATTCGCTTCGGTCGATCTAGCTGGAGGCAATATGTCCCGGAGGATAACTGCTGCCTGCTTATACAAGCTGTCTATTGATGGTGCCCTCGGGAGTGATGTGAGCTGCGAATAGTCAAAGTCATGTAGGTTCACAAATCGACTCTGTCGACTCGAGTGCATAAGTTTTAATTGCAGTGGCGGAATCGTTTCTACACTTCCTAAGGAAAGCACCGGATCGGGTTCCCTTCTGCTTCCTGAAAGAATTAATTCGTCCTTTGTGGACGCTCTTTTGGCCTTCATTTTCTGGCGCTCCAGTGCATCGTATTCTTTTTGTAATTTACGTTCCATTTCCCTGTAGTGTGGAGGATGGTTTATGCAGTAGTAACTATCACCCAAAAGCCTGTACCTTCTCTCGTCTCTCACCCGAGCACCATGCCCATCGTGGTCCATAACGATTTCAGGCTTGTGACAGAAGTGTGATGCTGACAACGATCGGAAGTGCTCCGCATCACGAAGTGGTAATTTAAGTACACCCGATTTCCACTTGTTCGACGACGTCTGATCAGTTAGGCTAGTGTTTAAGGCATTCACAAATTTGGCAGATAACTCCCAAGATAATGAGCGATA